TCAACATGCACAGTGCAATGTGCACCCATGTATTTGTAACCCTGTTACCAAACATTTATTTTTGTTATGTAACTTTTTAAAATGCACCGTTAATCAACATTCCACAAAAACATGTCACACTCAATGTTTACCACATACATGTAAACCTTGCCACATTGGTATGTATGGATATTTCGGCATGCGGCTGTTTTTCACTGCCTTGGTAATAAACTGAATACATGTTGACATTGACACATCAATAAATATTTTGCTTTCTAACATAGCTTTCTAAATTCTTATTGGAGCAATACCTTTGACTGCTAACAGTGCTTACAAAACATTAAAACTTATACATTATACAGTACATCAAACATTTTCATTGTTAATGTCACAATTATTCCATTAAAATGACTGGATCTAATATGCAACTCCCATACATACATTTTTATTTCAGTTCTCTTGCTATAGCATGACAGAGACTAGTCCTGGCTTGTTAAGTTCAGCATTAGAAATTTAACCTTTTCTATAATTCCATGCAAATATATTTCCTGCAATATGTTTTTACAATTTTAAGGGTGGGGTTCACACGCTTGTTTGCAAATTAGATTTGATTAGCAATGTACTAAGTGTAATATAATAACAGACCTCATCTACATACATAGCATGATAAATTACTTTCTGAAATTTGTCTATATCTGAGATAAAATGCACCATCTTTCTCAAAATCAACATCAATCTTTCATAGTACAATTGTTGTTTCATTTATACTTGATAGTTGAGAGACCTTGCCTTTTCAAAGATTCCTTCTAAGACTCAGGCTTGTACTATTGCACCAAATCCAGCACGCAGTACTAAAACTGAAAGTGGTAAAACTGTTGGCGAGAATGGAAGACAATGGAAGCAATGGTCAGAGAAAGACAAAGAGGTAGTACTTAAATTTAAAAAAAATAGAGGTGATCCTTTTGAAATCTTGGGAGGGCGCTGTGGCAAATTTGTTAATTGCATACTATTTTCACTCACTATTGTGGGATGGATTTTTTTTCCTGAGAATATATCGTAATATAATTTTTCCCTCAATATAAGGATTTTCATGAACTTCTGTTGAGAGAACAAATTTTTTTTCTGCTATTGAGCCTGTGAAATTTTGTTGTTCCTGGATTTCAGCTCACATTTGTTTTTCATCGAATGGGTTGCCCCTTATTTGTGTAGATTGTGTATGTATGGGTTTATACAAAAAATGTATATTGGTATATGTTTGATAAAAACATGTTTGCATGTAATATAACTTGAATTGAATCATTGTAATGGTAGCTGCAATTTAAATTGTTTCCTTTGTCAGTTTGTTTCAGATCAGTTTGAAAAAGATTTGGAAAAAGCTATACTGCAAAGCAAGATAGATTTTGAAAAACAAGCATCTGTGAGTACTCTTAACTCTACTAATGATTTCAAATACCCAGAATTTATTCATTTTCCAATAAATTATACTTCTAGCAATATAAAGATATTGACTTAAAAAGTTGGGGGTCACCCCGGGGGTCCGACTTGTGGAAATACCTGGAACCCATGTCTGTGAAAGGGGTTTTCAAAATGACCCTAAACACTTTTAAAAGGTCAAAATTTCATACCCTTTTCACTATTAGAAAGCTAAAAGATCGCGCACCTTGAACTCGCGATATTTGCTATTGATCGCCCGTGATTGAGCGTCGTTTTCCTCATTTTTGCAATCATTGAATTCCTTAAAGCAATGAAAAAAAAATGATAATCTCATTTAAAAAATAACCACCCTTATCACGTTGGCAGTACCGGAAAAGACACCCTTTTTGTCTATTTTGACTGAAATGGTAACCCTAAACGCGTAACGCGCATTAACATGCTTTTCTTTAAAAAAAAACCCCTTTTAACACGTTTTCTTTCACAGACATACGTACCAGATCATTCTTTAAGTCCGACCCCTCGGGGGGGGGGGGGTCACTAGCTTATTTTTTGAGATGGTTGTATTTTCGAAGATAGTGGTCATTTTTGCACTAATATAACGATTTTAACACAGGTTTCTTTGGCAGAGATAAATCTTAAATTGTAGGCTGGTGTCCTAGACTGATAACATTTTATATTGTGAAACGATGAGGTACGTTTTTGTTGTACTCAATTACTTAAAAAATCTGGGTTTAAAAAGTGGCGAAAAAATGTAAAACTGTTCTAAACATATCAATTGTTGAAAAATATTAAGTTTCACAAAATATGCCACTGTAATACACAAAAGAATGTTATTTCATGGTGCCATGGGACAATAGCTTCATGATTTTACATGTTATTTCATGGTGCCATGGGACAATAGCTTCATGATTTTACATGTTATTTCATGGTGCCATGGGACAATAGCTTCATGATTTTACATGTTATTTCATGGTGCCATGGGACAATAGCTTCATGATTTTACATGTTATTTCATGGTGCCATGGGACAATAGCTTCATGATTTTACATGTTATTTCATGGTGCCATGGGACAATAGCTTCATGATTTTACATGTTATTTCATGGTGCCATGGGACAATAGCTTCATGATTTTACATGTTATTTCATGGTGCCATGGGACAATAGCTTCATGATTTTACATGTTATTTCATGGTGCCATGGGACAATAGCTTCATGATTTTACACAATAAACATTGGAGAAATCAAAAACTCAAAATTACACATATGAGTGATTCATCAATCTAGTGAATTACGGGTCATACACATGACATCATGACATGGAGTCAAGTAGTTATTCAATAAAAGAATGAATTCAGGTCATTCAGGTCATATAGTGGTAACAAGCTCAATTTTGAACCTCTTTTTAATATTGCAAAAGATGGGAAGGTATGACTCATTGAAATAATTAGTCATGTTGTAATGAGTCATTAATCAGCCATGGTATAGTGACAATCATTAACAAGCTATGTCATAGTGACAGTCATTAGTCAACCATGGTATAGTGGCAATCATTACTCAT